CACTAAAGGAAGGTCAGCATTTTTCTAGGGGCCTCCACTACCAGCCTCTACCTTCCACAGAGCTCAGGGTGCTTCCTGCCAAATGCACTGTTATGGGCTAAATTGTGACCCTCCAGAATTCAAATGTTGAAGCCCTAGTAACCCCTAGCACCTCACAGTGTGACTGTGTTTGGAGATAGGATCTTTAAAGAGTTGATTAAGGTTAACTGAGGTCATTGAGGGTGGGCCCTAATCCAATATGACTGGAAGAAGAGGAGCTTAGGACACAGACACACACAGAGGAGAAACCATGTGGATGACACAGGGAGAAGACAGCCATGTGCAAACCAAAGAGCCAGGGTCAGAAGACACCAACCCTGCTGACACCTTGATCTTGGATGTCTAGCCTCCAGAACTGTGAGAAAATAAATGTCCCTTGTTTGACACCCCCCACCCCCAATCTGCGGTATTTGTCACAGCGGCCGAGGCTGACTAGTACATGTGCCTTGATGCTCTTCACCCAGTCACTCTGCCCGCGCTCCCGCTTGGTGGGCCTCAGGCCTGGTGGAAAGCCGCTCCCCTGCCTGCCAGACCACATCCTCTGCTTGGCTTATCCATTCTGGCTCCTTTTTCCACGGCCCCACCCTGGTCCTTCTTGTTTCCCCAGGGCCAAAGGGACCTCCCACATTGAAGGCACACCCCGGCCCCAGTATCACCCCACTGTGGGAGAGAAAATGCCACTGGGGACCCCTGTCAAGACCTGAACCCCTCACTGCTCCCGCTTCTCCTTTACAAGGGTCGGGGTTCCATGATTCCTTAGTACTTGCCAGGGTCTCCGCGGAGGGCGAAACTGGGAAGGCCAAGAGTGAACGCTTTAGACACGGAGATGGCTTTGGTTATCCCAGAAATACTTTCAGTTAGCAGAATTTGCATCTTAGGTTTTTCTCCAGGTGATTTCTAATGTGGAAATAATTTTATCTGTTGAAAAGTTGGTCTTTTTGCTAAGTGGAAGCTGGTGATATTTGCCAAGTTAGGTTTATGGAAGTATAATTTATATCCAGTAAAATTCTCCCTTTCCAGATGTGCAGGTCAGTGAGCTTTGACAATTTCATACATTTTTTTGAGTAACCACCACCACCATAGTCAGGGTAGAGAATATTTTTATTACCTTCTAAAGATGCCTCGTATGCATACCTTTGCCCGGCAGTGGCTTTTGAACAGAGGAAGTTACACGATTGAGTTGATGCTCTACAAAGGTTGAATCTTTTTTATTCCTCGGTTCCTCTATTACCTCCTCCTTTTGTGTTTAATTGATTTTTTTTTGGTGTACCATTTTGATTCCCTCCTCATTTCCTTCTCTGTATATTTTAAAGTTATTTTGTTAGTGGTGGCACTGGAGATTATAATTTATATCTTAAATTAACTAGTTTGAATTCATACCAACCTAGCTTCAATAGTATATAAAAAGTCTGCTCCTGTACAACCCCATCCCTCCCCTTTATATTTTTATTGTCACAGATTACATCTTTAAGCATTGCATGTACATTAATGTAGGTGTATGATTTTTTAAATGTTTTTCTTTTTCCCAGTTTTATTGAGATATAATTGACACATAGCAGTGTGTAAGTTTAAGGTGTACAGCATGATGATTTGACTTACATCAGGAAATGATTATCACAATAGGTTTGTACAGTATTGTTCTATGCATTTGTCTTTTAAATCATGTAGGGTAAAATAAAATTTGCAAATGAAAAATACAGTAATACTTACATATTTGTTTACCTGTATATATATGACATAGTTCACAGTCTGGTTCAGATTAATACCAACCTAATTTCAGTAGGATGCAAAAACTTTGCACCTGGATAGCTCTGTTTCCCCCCCATCCTTGATTCTGTTATTGTATAAATTATGTATTTCCACATCGTGTGCCCAGAAAGACAGATTTGTAATTATTATTTTATGTAGTTGTCTTTTAAATCAGATAGGAGAAAAAGAGTTACAAAGGAAAAATACATTTATATTGTCTGTTGTGTATTCTCCGTGTGCTTGCCTTTATCACTGTTCTTTTTTCTTCACGTGGATTCAGGTTACTCTCTAATATCCTTTCACTTCAGCCGGAAGGACTTACTTTAGTATTTCTGGTAGGACGGGTTTGTTAACAATGAATTTTCTCAGTTTTTCTTTATCTGGTAACATCTTAATTTCCGGTTTTTTTTGCAGGATAGATATGTTGTGTATGGACCATTCTTGGTCCATAACCTTTTCTTTCAGCACTTTGAATATTTCATCTCACTACCTGCTGGTCTCCATGGTTTCCAGTGAGAAATCAGCTGTTGGTCTTACTGAGAATCCCTTGTAGGTGATGCATCTCTTCCCTCTTTCTGCTTTTAAAAGTCTCTTGTTGGTTTTTAGTAGTTTGGTTGTGATGTATCTAGGCTTGGATCTCGTTGAGTTTATCCTGTTGGACCTTGGTTAGCTTCCTGGAAGTGTAGTTTTCTCTCTCTCTCTCTCTCTCCCCCCTCCTTCTGGGACTCCTGTATGCACATGTTGATGTTTTGATGTGTCCCACTGGTCTCTGAAGCTCTGTTCATTTTCTTCATTCTCTTTTTGTTTTGTTCCTCAAACTCAGTAATCTCAACTGACCTATCTAAAAATTCACTGATTCGACAGAGAAAGACAAACACTGTATATCACTTATATGTGGAATCTAAAAAATACAACAGACTAATGAATATGGCAAAAATAAAGCAGACTCACAGATATAGAGCATTAATGGCTACCAGTGCAGGGGAGGGGCAATATTAGGGGTGGGGGAGCAGGGGGTACAAACAGTCGGGTGTAAGACAGGCTCAAGGATGTCTTGTCCAGCATGGGGAATAGAGCCAGATTTTATAATAACTGTAAATGGAAAGTAACCTTTAAAAATTGTATGAAGCAAAAATAGTGATCTGGATTTGGCTCAAAATAAAATAAAATAAAAGTAACAAGACTTGGCTGATTTGAAAAACATAAAATGAAAAAAATAAAAGTTCGCTGATTCTTCTGCCCACTCACATCTGGTGTTGAAACCTAATGAGTTTTTCATTTCAGTTTTTGTACTTTTCAACTCCAGAGTTGCTGTTTGGTTCCTTTTTGTAATTTCTAAATCTTTATCGATATTCTCTGCTTGGTAAAATATCATTCTCCTGGTTTCTTTTAGTTCTTTGTCCATCATTTCCTTTGGCTCCTCGGGGTTTGTTTTTGCCACTTGTTGTGAGTTGTAGTTGTCTGCTTAGTGATTTTCTGAACTACTTCTGTAAAGACTGTATTATTTGGTTGTGTGTGGTCACTGAACCCCTGTTCCTTTAGCTTAGTGGTCGGCTGGTGATCTGATAGAGATTTCCTCAATGCCTAGAGCCAAAGCAACAGCAACAAAACCCTTCTGGGCTTAGCAGATCCGCTCTGTGCTGGAGCCCTCCTTCAGCGTGTAGCCAGTTTTGCAGCTCTGCCGCAGCCTTCACTTCCTGGGCACGTGCAGCCTAATGAGCAGTCAGAGGAGAAAGCTTATGGTTTTCTCAAGTCTCGCCTCAACACACCTCAGCCTTGGGCATGCAGGTGGCCCTCTAGACCCTGGTTTCTGTGGGAGCTTTTTAGAAACTTTCTCTCTCCTTCCTCAGCTTCTTCCTTTTCAGGCTGCACAGCGTTTCTGCTGCTTGCCTCACCTGTTATCTCTTGCTCCAGGTGGCTTTGGCTCATAGATGTGTCTTTAAATGATTTCAACAAATGCTCCCCACGAGGCCCCTCAATCCCTGAAAAAGTTCTGAAGGGAGTAAAACAAAGACAAGACCCTGAGTTGGTCCTTTTGGGAGCTGCGAGACAGGTCAAAACACACAACCACAGTTCTTTGAGAACAGAGTTTGTGTTGTTCCTCCGGCACCAGCAAGCCACACCATGAACATGTCCCCGCGGCTGCCTCTGAGCTGGGAGTGGGGGATAATAGGTAGGTAAATTCAAAAGGCAGAATATAATCTTACTGAAATTTAGCAGCATCTTTCTTCATTAAGCACAACCCTCACTGTTAGTTTTTTTAATTTAGATTCCAGAGTTCCGACAGATTTTACAAGCTTAATCATTGCTTTTGTGGAGGGGCAGATTTCTGAGGTTCTCTACTCCCGGGTATGAACGCTTTTGCAGTTATTTTTGTATTGATAGATTGCTCTCTTAAAAAAATAAACCATTTTCCAGTGCTAACAGCAGTGCATTTCTTCACAGCCACGTCAGCAATCATTGTTATAAATAGATCTTTTGAGTGTTTCATTATTATTGAATAATGCTTCATAGTAATATTCACTTAAATTTCTTTTATTACTGTTGAGTGTGAGCCCTTGTTGAGTCAGTGCTTGATTTTTTTGTAGACTGTCATTTCCTTTGATCATTAGCTCTTTCAGACATTGGCCTTTCGTCTGTGTTTCAGGTTATCTGAGCCTGGGCCAGCTGTGGTGAGAGGTGTCTGTGTATGTGGCAGGGTCCACCCCAGCTGAGGATGGGCAGCTCCTAACATGGGCGGAGGCGTGTTGGAGCCTCAGGGTCTCTTTGAATCATTCATTCAGCAGAAGTGTAGCGAGCCTGCCGTGTGCCCGGTCAGTGCTGGTACGGGGGAGATGGCAGGGGCCAGACAGCCACGCCCCGCCCCTTGTGAGCAAAGAGCCCTACACAGGTGACACCAAGTGGGCAACACGTGCAGGACGTCATCTCAGACTCGGCCTTTCCGCTGAGCTGCACTGGTTTTAATTTCTTACTGGTTTAAAAAACGTTGCTGTCCGTACGCTTGCCCATCACATCCTTGAAACGAGAGGTCAGATGGAGGCCCCTGCATATCAGCAACCTGGTCTTTGTGGTGCATGTGCTGAGTGCTTGGGGTGGAGCTGGAGGGGGCGTTCCTTCCTGGGCACACGTGGGCCCAGGCCCTCCTCTCTAGGGCACTTTGCTCTCTCCTGGAGGCCCACTTACCTGACAGGGGGTTCCTTCCAGGACCAAACACCCAGTGGTGTGCCGATGGCCAGGGTCCGGAAGGCTGTGCTAGCCCTTCCTTGGAGAGAAGATAGGCGTCTCACCTTAACAGGTAGAGTCCTTCCGAAGTTTGGGAACAGGAGGGAGTGGACAACCCATGGTGGGGATGGTGGCGGGCAGCTGGGGACACTGCAGCACTCTGTCCCGCCCACAGGGGTCCAGGCCGCCGATGGGCCCATCCTCTTGCCCAGCCTGCACCAGGGGCTCCTGTGCCCCACGCGGCACCTGTGCAGCCCCGCCCCTGCTCCAGCTCCCAAGTCATCAAAGAAGCCCAAGATGAAGGCAACCGAGGACATGTTCCCCAGCGACTGGAGCCCACCGCCCGTGGACTTCCTGAACCTGAGGGCTGCGAAGGCCAACCAGCGGGCCCTGGCCCGGAGGCAGGCAGGTGCGCTGGGGCCTCCGGGGCTGAGGACACTGGCCCGCCAGCCGCCCAAGGAGGCAGAGCAGGAGCCTCGGGACTCGGACCCAGAGGGGAACCCGTCCTCACTGGGGGAGCTGTTCTGGAACGTGGCATGCACCAGCCCAAAGGCTGCAGCCCTGGGGATGAACACCCGCACCTCGGTAAGCTGGGGCCACCTCCTGGCCTCCTCTCCTTGCCACCTTTCTTTAGCCACCCCTCCTGGTCACCCCCAGACCACCCTTTTGTAGCCACTCCCCTTTGGCCACACACCAACCTGTCCCCAGCCCTTGGGCCCTGGGGGCTGGGAGCGTGGGCCCCTGAAGTTGTCTGTCCCTGTGTCTCTGCTTCTCGCTCCTGCTCACAGATGGCTCGGCTGGTGCCACCTTTGATGCTGCTCCTGTCTGGGGCCCTTCAAGTCTTTCTTTCGAGCTGAGGTTGAGGTCGTGGGCCTGGAGAAAGGACCTCGGCGCTGGGTCTGGGCTAGGTCTGGCACAAAGCCTCTGCTGACTCTGGTCCAGAGACTTGGGATTCCTAAATGGAAGCTTCAGCGACGAACCTCAGGCAGGGAATGCACTGTTGTTGCTGGGCCGGCGCTGGGGACGTCTGAGTGCCTGGAGGTCCAGGACGTCTATTCTGAGACTAGGACTTGTTTGCTTGTAATAGCCCAAGGTTGTCGGTAACCTGAAAGCCCACCACCAGGGAACTAGTGTGTCATGTTCTAGCCATTCATCAGGGTCCCCTGAAGGTGGATTTTTTTTTTAATATCTCTTTAGTATTGATGTGGAATGATCCTGAAGACATACCGTTAATTGAAAATCAGAGTGCAGGACAGTGGGTGTAATATGCTACTATTTGTGTTTAAGGAGAGAATCTATGATACATTGCTGTTTGTTGTCTGTGCACAGAGCATCTCTGCACACACACCCAGCAGTGGCCGCCCATGGGCACCTGTGCGGGGGGACTGGGTTGCTGGGGATGGCGGCTGGGGGAGACATTGTACTGTATGCCTTTATGCTTTTCAATTTTTAATCAGGTGAATGTATTGCTTGTTCAGAAAAGTAAACAAAATACATAAAGGGCTTAACTTAGGTTCTGTTTTATTCCCTTTCCCTCTGCTTTTGTCTTTCTTCCCTACGGCCGCATCCTGTTTCTCCAGTTCCCCTCTGGGGGCGCAGAGTGCTATGTCAACAGCTTAGATTACTTACTGTGGGAGAAGAGGTGAGTGCGGAGGGGCCTTCAAGGGGTCTTCGTTGCTGCGGGGTTGGCAGTAACTTCACAGGGTTCGTTCTCAAAGACTCCTAGCAAATTCCTCTCAGGATGAAGCAGCCCACCCTACCCCCGTCAGCGTGCCCTGGTTAATAACCAGTGCGAGGAACGGTCGCCAGGGCAAAGGGTGGCATCTCCAAGGCAGAGAGACAGGCGACGTGTCCAGGGCTCCAGGGGGCCGTGAGCGGCACAGAGCCTTATCCTGATCAGCGGGGCTGGACCCTGGGAGGAGCAGAAGGCCTAAGCCCTGGCCCTGGTGTGTTAACAGAACGAGCAGACACCAGAGTAAGCTGCACAAATAAAGGGGCGTCTGAGGTTGTGTAGTGAAAACCATCTGCTTTCAGGCAACACAGCTGATAGAGCGCAGCCTCTCCCGCTGTGCGCCTTTGTGCAGGGAGACAGGGCTCCCTGGTCCCCATGCCTAGGTCTGGCCGTGTCCATGGAGGCCCCGCGGCCCAGTGACAGGGCTGGGCGAGCAGGAGCTTCCCTGACCCCAGCTGTTGGGTCTCCTCCCTGCAGGGAACAGGCCCTGGAGCAGGAGCGAGAGGAGCTGCTTCTGCGGGACTGTCCTGACCTCAATTCCTTGAATCTCAGTGATGATGAGGCGCCTCTCACGCCCGAGTACAGGTAGGGGAGTGGGCACCGGTGGGGGGCAAGGGTCCACCCACACAGGGCCGAGTCCCCTTCCCCCCCCACCGCCTCCCCAGACAGAGGGTTTAGGTGCTGACCTGCCCTCAGTTTTGGACAGTAGCAGCCAGTGATTTGTGTGCGGTTTTTGAGTTCTCAAGCTGCCTCCTTCTCTTAAACCCATATCTGTTCATTGATTTGAGAATGAACCTACTGTGTGTCAGGGTCTAGCGTGGACCTTTGAGGACACAGAGATGACAAAACACGGCCTCCTCTTCCCACCCGCCTGCCCAACCTTGTAGAAGCAGGTCTCTTGAGAAAGTAGCTACACAAAGCCACAGTCTAAAGGAAAACTGCCTTTAAATGGGAGAATACAGCCACATGACATTTTTTGTCTTCCCTTTTCTGGGGAAAGAAGGTGGCTTCTGTCAGAGCTGTCGTCTGGGCTGGAGTCTACTGGCCTGCTGGCTGGAGGGAGGGCTGGATTCAACTGTACTGTGGAGTTTCAGAGATGCCCGAGAACCACAACTGAATCCTTCTTCAGGGTACCCGGTTATCCATCCATCCATTTGTCTGTCCATCTGTCTGTCCATCCAGCAAACATCTGTTGTGTGCCAACTTCGGGCTTTGTGCGGACTCTGGGGATACAGCAGGAGCAGAACCAGGGGAAGACCCCTGCCCTTGTGTTGCTTGCTGTCGGGGTGCGGGGGTGTTGAAGCAGCCTGGTACACCATCTGTCTTAAGCTGGGGGTGGGGTGTTGGGAGGGTTTTGTGAGGTGTGGACAGGGGCTCAGGGAAGGCCTCCGTGAGCAGATGACTTATGCAGAACCCTAGAGTGGTGAGAGGCGGTTCCAGGAGGGCCCTGCAGTGGGAGCACTCCCTGTGTGGTGCGGGAGCAGCGAGGAGCAGGCGGGAGAGGGAGAGGAGGTCAGGGAGGCTAAGGTGGGCTCCATGTCAGAGCTCTGCCTCGTCTGAGCAGCATCCTCTGCTGCCATGTCCAGGGTAGACGGGGTTAGGGGCCGTGGGGGCGAGGTGGAAGAAGGGGGCGGGGCCAGAGGGTCCATGGTAGTAATCTGGGAGAAGTGAGGGCAGGGCGGGGCAGAGGAGGCAAATTCTGGATATATTTTCAGGGTAAAACTAATGGAATTTGCTGATGAGCTGGATGGAGGCAATGGGAGAAAGAGAGGAATCAAAGGGGTCCGCAAGGATTGTGGCCTGAGCAGCCAGAAGGTCCGAGTGGTCTTTAATTAAGTTGGGGGAGGCTGAGTGACACAGACTGGGGGGTGGCAGGCACGGGAACAAGGGTTCACTTGGGAGACCCCAGGGATGAGTCAAGACAAGGACCCCCTTGTCTGGAGAGGCCGGCTTGGGAATCATCACATATAGATGACATTTAAAGCCTCAAAACCAGATGAGATCACCCGGGGAGCTGGTATAGAGAGAAGAGCAGGGGCCCAGGGATACAATGTAGAGGTGACGGTGACCTTGACCAGAGCGGCTCTGCTGGGCAGCTTGAGGTGAACCTGCCTGGCTGGAATAGGTTCCCAGACCAAGAGGAGAAGTCAAAAGAGAAAAATAGGCGGCAGCTGAGGAGGGAGATGGGGCCAGGATAGATCTTCCTGTCTGTCTGTCTGTCTTTGTTTCCTTCCTTCCTTCCCTCCCTCTGGAACCATGTGCCCCCATGTGACTGGGGGCAGGTTGGTCCACACACCCTGGACCGTCTGCCTGTCTGGGCTTTGCTTTTTCTGTGCGTCTGAGTGATGTCATTCAGGTCCCGCAGGGATGGGTCTGGTTTCGATAGGCGCTCCGAGTCCTTGTTCTGTGTCCTCTCACGGGGAGGAGGAGGGGGCTCCACCCGCAGGCCCCCCAGGTGGTTCCCACTGTCCCTGTTGCCCAGAGAGGACCATGAGCAGCACCTTGGCTGACCGTTTGCTTTTTTTGCAAGTTTTCCTGATAGTCATCTCCGGACTTGACCAGGGATCAGCAGACTTTCTGTAAGGCTTGTGAACAGTAAATATTTTAGGCTTCAAGGGCCACACATGCTCTGTCGCAGCTGCCTGGCTGTGCTGCTGAGGTGGGCAGGGGGCGTGTGCTTGTGTTGTCCTGAAACCTTGCGTGCAGGAACGGGCAGGAGGTAGCCGCAGCCTGGGCATAGGTGCCGACCCCTGGCCTAGATTAGGGGACGTCTGCCTCCCAGCTGGTACCAGTTCTCACACACTGCCCCACGGCGGGGGCGGGGGTTGCCACAAGGTCACCGTGACTCCTGGCAGAGCACGAAGACAGAATGGAATCAGAGGGTTTGGGCCAAAGGTCTTGGTGGCATCATGAGTGATGAAAGCAATTTTCTCTCTGTGTTGGGGTCTGTGGATTCGGTTTCCAGGTTCCCCATTCTCTGGTTAGATTGCCTTGGAATTAAACGTCTGAAAACCTCTCTGTAGCGAGAATAACCCTTCTAGCTCTCTGCCTTTCTTCTGAGTGCATCCGGGATTCTGGAAGTCATGGCCTGGATGGTTTAAAATTCCCCATAGAAAGGGAGTTATCTGGGCAACCAGCTTAAGACAGACGGTGTTCCAGGCTTTGAAATTGCTGATTATTTTCTGGGCACATGACATTTTCAAGTCATACTCTGAGGAAGCCTTTTTGACAACAGCCACTTTGAGGTGGTGGTTTTGATGTGGGATCATTTTGATGGGACAGTTCAGCTCTCTGCTTCAAAGAACATTACTCAGTTGATGTACAAAGCCGGCAGCCTCTTCCATCCCTGAATGGAGCCGGGGGTGGAGTGGGATGGCAGGGAGGGGTGAGGATCTGGAAGGGGTGAGGCCGAGGCTGGGGGCTAGCCACCATCCGGCAGACAGGTCGTCTGTGACCAGGATTCACGTGGCTGCCACAGTTGTCCAGCAGAGAAAGGCCCCCAGTCATCTCGGGCAGATTATCTGCCCATGCTCTTGGAACTGCTTGCATCTTGAATAGACAACGTCCTGCATTCTCTATTCCTTAAGGTCAAAAGACCCTATGTGTGTCCTGGAGCAGGGGAGGGGAGGATATTTAAACCACAGCATCATCCTTTATCCTCAGTTCTGAGCCGCACAGGAAATCCTCTATTAGACGTGCAGGCGTCATCTCAGAGCTGTTACTAATGCACATACATTATATTTAATTTCACAAAAGTCCCTTTGAACGACGGTTTGGAGGGACAGGCCAAAGATCTTTTTACAAATGAGCCTCTAGTTCTTACAGACTTCGTACATTTTTTTAAATTATAAAAACAGTATAGGAAGCTGTAGATGCTCAGAAACTCAAAACAGCAAAGAAATGATCAGAACTGAAAATGGTTTTACCATCTGTGTGGTGGTTTGCAGAGGCAGCTTCCAAAATGCTGCAGGGTCAGAGTCTCCCCATTTTCCCGATGTCACTCCCGTCCGTTGCGCCCTTTCTTCCTCAGGGCGACCCTGCGACTGGGTCGGTGCCTTACCTTGGGTCACTTAGCCAGAGAGTGACAGGTTTCCTCTGGCCAGCGGTGGGACCGCTGGCTTCACCCCTCCATCCCCGGTGCCAGCTGCTCAGGTCCTCATGGGAGCCTGGGCTGCGTCCCCCTCCGAGCTCACTGTCTCAGGACCCGGCTGGGAACCCAGATCTGGGCCATCCTCTGGTGAGAGGAGGGCGTGCGGTGCCCGTGGCTTGTCTTAGTTTGTATTTATTATTGTTAAGTGCGTGCTGTGTGAGACCACAGATCAAGCCGAACACTGTTGTGTGAAGCAAAGCAGGGCGTCTCCTTTTCCCTCCCCTCCCACATCCCGTTCCCCAGGGATGACCAGGATCATGGTTGGGTGCGTCAGATGCGTGGGGGTGTTGCATGTGGCTAGCGCGCGTGCACACGCACACGCACACACACACATCCTATTCTGCAACTTGCTGTTTTCACCTAGCAGGTACTATGCTGGGGGATCCTTCCACCCTGAGTGGTGCAGAGGAGAACCTCGTCCTTGGGACTCATCCTCGCCCCTCCCTTGATGCATCCCAATTGAGTTGGACTGTGCTGCCTCCTCCTCTTCTTGTTCCTTCCCGGTCCATGGGCCCAGCTCTGATCCCCTAAGTGAGACTCTCAGGACAGGGCGGGCCTGGGCACCTGCATTTAGCAGGCTCCCCAGGGAGTCCTCCTGCTCACAAGAACTTGAGGACGCTGCGCAGAGGAAAGACCTTCCCCGACCTGCTGCACCCAGTGCTTCTCTCACTGGTGCCCCTCAGCACCGTGGGGCAGCTCTGAGACGAGCCTACTTGCTGGAGGCCATTGCCATGATCTGTTTACACTTTTCCTGGGCGTGCAAGGGCCCGACTCATCCTTCAGCACCTGGCATCTACAGCCGTGGGCACGCAGTGGAAGTCTGAACTGAACAGAGCCCATGGGCGGGGCGGGACTGCCCATGGGCGGGGCGGGACTGGAGACCAGGACTTTTGGCTCTTGGACTCAGGACGGAGGGGCTGGGGTGTCTGACAGGGAGTGGAAGGGGGAAGCGGTCTTCCTGCACCGGCAGGTGGCGCTGTGCCCCTGGTCTGGTCCCCACCCAGCCGTGGCTGTGGGGCGAGGGCAGCCGTCTGGCCTTCCCCGGACTCGCTCCAGGCTGCAGACCAAGTGTACCTGCTGACACCTGGCTCTTCTGCCCCTTGCTTTGCCAGGAAGCTGGTGGAGAGGTTCTCCACATCACTGCAGGTCATCCCGCCGGTACATCCCGGCGAGGCTGTGTTTCTGCCCAGGAATCAGCCCCTGCCTTGCATCCTGGACTGTTCGCACCTGAAGCCACGCAGCCATCTGGAAGAGCTGTTCCTCAGGTGAGTGTCAGCGCGGCCCCTCTCTCATGGGACCCAGTGATAAGGACCAGCCCAAATGAGGCAGTGCAAAATGGTGTGTAGTCAGCTTTCAGGGAAATAGATGAAACAGCACACATGTCTACTTATGATATTTCTTTTGCTAATTTAGATGCACATCCTTTAAAAAAATCTTAAAGCAGACATCCAAACACCTATTTATGTATTCATGTTGCCTTTCCACCCCCACACCCCAGTTTCATGGAACAACTTTGGTCAGACTCATCATACATGCCTTTGGGGTTATGTCTCCATCAAAACTGGAGCCACTTTCTGGGCCACCCAGCAGTTTTCCAGAGCCTCCTTCTCCATCTTCACTTCCTCCTACTCCATCGAGACACTGCTTCTTGGGTCTGCGTGTGATGCTGACACCGAAAAGTTTGTCCCCAGCCACAAGCACGTGCAGTATAACATGAGGACAGCTGCCCTGTTCCTCTTCTCCTTGGAAGTTGTTCACAATCACTGTCACACAGCTGCTGACTGTGTGCATTCTTGAGGGGATTTTTAAGAACTTTAGCACAATGACACCCAACGCTTGCAATTCTGAGTTCAGATGTCTAAGAATAAGAGAGAGGGGAACCCTGCAGAATTCAGCACAGCGGCTGTCCACGGACGGGGGGCTCAGCGGCCGAGGAGATGGAGGAGAGGCTGCCTGACCCCCCACCCCCCACCTAGCCTGTAACGTGCACGGAGGTTGGAGCGATGCTAGGACTTGAATGCAGGAATCTTGTTCTCTTTTCCAGTTAGTCCATCTTATTTTAATAGAAAGATGTAACATTATTTTGATATGTTTCCTTTAAAACTCCCTATCGAGGAAAGTTTCGGACACACATAAAGTAGAGTGTACCTCCCTCCGTGTGCCCATCACCTGCCGTCAACAGTTACCAACTCAAAGCCAGTGTTGTTCCATCTCTACCCCTGCCACTAACACTGTCCCTCAGGATTATTTTTAAGCAAATCTGAGACACATATAATTTTATCTGTAAGTACAGTCTGTGTCTCTAAAAGACCCTACCTTTAGATAAACAGTCAATACCATTATTACACCTAAACAAATAGGAGTTTTTTTAACATCACTAATGCCAGTCAGTGTTCAGATTTCCTTGATTGTCTTATAAATGTTTTTTATATGGTGTTGAAATCAGAATCTAAAGAAGGGCCAAATGTTGCAATTGGACAGTGTCATGTTAATGGTGAAACAGTATTGCATGGCACAGATGCCTCGACACATTTAACCATTTTCCTCATTTTTCTTGACATACAAGCTATTTCCAACTTTTTCCCATTATAAACAACGTGGCAGAGAGTATTCTTAAACAGAAATGTGTTTCTGCAGTTCTGGAATAAATAGATCCCTGGAGGTGATGAGAGATGCTTGGGTCTAAGTGTGTGATTATTGGTAAAAGTTTACTTGCCACACTGAAAAAAATCACTAATCAGGAGATGATGCAGAGGGGAAAATAGAAATGAAGGGAAAGAAGAAAGACGGTGGAACCAGAGGAAGGAGAGGGACAGAGAGCCAGCTTGGCAGGAGAGGAGAGACGAGGGGAAAGGCAGGCGGCTTCCTGAGCAGCTTCTCTGCAGGGTTTGTGCCGACAGCAGGTTGTCTGTCCCCAGCTGGATGCCGGCAGGAAGTGTTTGACAGATGAGCCAGCCTGTGGCCTGGGATCAGAACGGCCGTGCCAAATGGGGCCAGGTGGCCGGCCAGTCTCCCTGGGGTGGAGAATCCAGACCCTCCTCCCGCTAACGAGAGGCTTTCTGGAGGAACGCCTGCACCATGCTCAGCTCAGGTCAGGAGACGCCTGCCGGGCCCTGGGTGAGGGCCGCTTCCTGAAGGTCGCCTAAGGGTCATCTTTTATTTCCTGTTTGTGCCAAGGACTTCAAGTCCAGACACAAGAGTGGGAGATACTAGTCCAGTAATTACCCCGTTGTGTGCGGCCGGAAACATGAAAATCGAGGAAGAAGAAAAGGCTTCTTTTCTTGATCTCCCCAAGAGCAGTATGGTTCGGTCTCTTGCCGTAGAAAAAGTTAACACTGTGAGATTACAGGTGACTTTTATTTTTCTCCTTATTCTCCTCTGTATTTTCCACACTTTCATGATGAACATTTTTATCCTTAGAGGTATTGGGGGAAAAGTGAATGTGATTTTTTTTTCAAAAAAAAAATCACTCCTTGAAGTAGATTCACTTTTCTTACTGTTCTGTGAAGAGGGATATTATCTTTCTTCCCACTGTACAAAGGGGGAAATCTTGGCCCAGATTAAGCAAGCAGTTTGACTCGGATCTCAAGGGAGAGCAGCCTCGGTGTCTGAGCACCACGCCTGGTCCTCCCGGATTGGACCTCCTCAGGTTTATGTGTCAGAAATCTTCTCCCCAAACCCACAGCTGTGGGGCCAGAGGTGGCCCAGACCATCCTCTCTCATTCATTACCAGGCTGGGAGGGTCATTTCTTGGGACCAGAGTCACCTGATGTGACAGAGGTTGGTACCAGGGGCTGAACTTTTGCCTCCTGCCTGTCTGACAGCAAGTCAGAAGGAAATACAATCCTCATGAGTGGAAAAGCTTCAAGACCTGCGCCCACGGCAGCTCGAGCAGGAGTAGGCTCCGAGGCACGTGGAGATGGCCTGCCCAGTTATTCTTGGTCCTCCCTGGGCCCCCACAGTGTATGCAGGAGTGCCAGGATCCCTGCTTGTCTTCTGGTGCACCTGCCATTCTCCCGTGAGGTGTTTGCGGTGTGTTCTCAGGGCACCTGCCCTGCTGGGGTGGGGGTGGGGGGGCTTTCCTCCACGATGGCTTCAGCTGGTGCAGAAGGCAGTCGGGTCTGAGCTCTCTGGCTGTAATTGGTGCTTGTGCACTGGACCTCCCTGAGGCCCAAGGCCCCAGCTCTGATTTTGCCCCAGCCCCCTCCTCTTCTCGGCCTGTAGGAGGAAGCCTGCATGAAATAAATCCAGCGGTGACAGAGTGTGGACAGGGCTGAGCTGCCCAGCTGGCTGCAACTGCCCAAAAATACAGAGCCCGTGGAAGCAGCCAGCTGGGTCATTGCTGGGGTCCCCAGGCTGCTGACCAGAGTGGTGCTCGCTGATCTTTAAACAAAGGAAGGAAAAAGAAGGGGAGGAGGGATGAATGCTTGGCCATTTATTCGTCTCTGTTCTCTCTCGGCGTTTTCACTTCAACTTTCATTTGAGTATCTTGGCAAAGGGGCAGAAACTGACACTGCACAAGTAGCTACACTTGGTGTTTGTCCCTGTGCCGTCACTTGGGTTCCCAAGGCACTTAGAGACTTTGCCATCTGGGACCGCTGCCCATAAAGAGATGGGGGGTGGGGGCTGGAGGGATCCTGACTTGGACCTTTACAGCAACACCCAGTCCAAGTGGAAGATCAGCGCTCCGCCGGGACCAGCGTGCTGGCCAAGCTGGTGCCCTGGTTTTCTGTGATTCCTTTTTTTGGCTGATGTGACCCCCTTCCTTCCTTCTGTTCCCGTGGCCCTCTGTCCTTGCCCAGCTGGCCGGGGACTAGGGTGTTCTGACTGTGGCCGCTCCTTGTCTGGGTGGGAACCTCCCATCCCTGGGATCCTCGGGTCTGACAGCTGGGGCTTCACACTCAGCTGGGTCCGCGTGGCATCTGCTGCCGCCGGGAAGCTCTGCTCCTCCCCTTCTCACTCCACGACATTCTGACATTCTCAAGATAACTTCCAACCTTGGCATTCGTTGGCTTTGCCATGGGCAAAAGTACCCACTTGGACCCAGTGTCAGCACTCTTGCTTTGAGGACGTGCCATGGGTTTTTGTAAATCTAACAACAGTTGATTCTGTAACCTGAGGTGTTTCAAGTTTTCAGTGCACACACCTCCCACCCTCTTCCCTTCTCCAGGCTTCCCCACATGCTGCTGCTCAGACTTCTCCTGCCTCAGATCAGGGCCCTTCCACCAAGCTGGAGGTTACTTATGCCATCGGCCTGTTCTGCCCCTGAATGGTGGAGGCTGGTGGTTCAGCCGAGGTGAGGTGGCACTGCTCTCCTGCCGAGCACACACAGGAGATTCCTCACATCTCATGTAGCTGTCGGCACAGGATGCCTTGAAAGCCATTCGCCTCGAGGCACAGCTGGACCATGCCCTTCCTGCCTGTCTTTGGCTCCTGGCCTTACAGACTAAACCTAACTCCGCAGCAGGGAACCTCGCCGCAGACTGATCGTTTCCCCGGCAAAAACTGCGCTGCAAGGCGGTGTAGCAGAAAGGAGACGTTGTGACCCAAGGGCTCCCTCTCCCTCTGAGCAGCAGTTGGAAGTGTGTTGATCTGAGCCAGCAGGGGCTTGTAGAATCAATTCCCTTACTGAGAAACTGGCGGGTGCCCCTTGAACAGAATGCCAGAGCCAGAGTCTCCTTGGAGTCCCTGGAGTGATGGCCGCCTTGCCACATGGCCCCTGGCCAGGTCCTGCCAACTTGTGAGGTCCTCCAATGTGATTTGCTTGGGTATTGTCTGCATTTGGGGTGCTGAGCTTGAACCATGCCTGCGTCGTGGGGTCAGTCTGTGAAAGTGTCCGTGTGACCGAGCACGTGGAGCAGAGAGGCATGTGCCAGCAGCCCTGGGGTGCACACGTGTTTGTATATGCAAATAAAGGTCTGTTTTACAGTGGTCAACTTCATAAACACAGGAACAAAGCCGCTTTCTCCTCTGAACTTAAATGGTTTGGGGGAGAAAACATACACAATTTGTAAATTGCCTGGATATTCTCAAGGAGACAGCAGCTTGGCTGGGAGGAGGATCTTTGTTTTGGAGCATTCTGTTCCTGGCAGATTAAAATATGATGTCCTTTTTAAAAAGGAGAAGGAGGAGGTTGGGCTGACCGAGGAAATTTCTATCTGGAGTCATGACTTCAGATGCTATCTGAAGTGTTCTTTGCCTGGATTTGGCTGTTAAAAAGAAGTACAAACATGAAATTACTTTTTCATTTCCTGGAATCCTTATTACTTGCCTTTAGGACATTATCTAGAAAGAGCAAAGAGGCCTTCACCAAATGTGGACAGTGGGAGAATCCTGCCCCAAACCCAGCCTCCCCGGGATGAGCAGGAGGACAGGAAGTGTGATGGAGGCCAGACAACCCCTCTGAAACGAAGCACCTTCCTCCAGAGGCCCTAAAACCACACAAAATGTATCAACTCCTCGCTTTACAGGGACCTGGGATCCTGTGGGCCCAAATGATCTACCAGGGCAATAGCGGACTCAGAGCAGGGCTCCCCTCCCCACCAGCAGCTCCTGGCAGAAGGGAGAAGCCCGGCAGGATCCCGTCGGGAATGGAAACGCGGGTTGTGGCCCCAGGAGTGTGGCAAGTCTGAGCGCCACTCCCCTTTGGCCCTGGGGCTGTTGCCGTTCACGTGGTTTCCAAAGACTCTTCTGTGGCACCCTCATCTGTTATGCCTTCCCAGAACTTCCCCGTCTTGGGCCTCTTTCTGTTATTTTCCCATCTTCTCAGGTGTCCCCTTTGTTTTCGGAAAAACAAGACAGGGCAGACACGCTCTGTGTAACCAGACCCCGGCCGCTGGCCCCACGGGGGCCCCGTGGGTAATTCTGTCCTCCCGGTGCCACCCGGAGCCCTCGGCCAAGGGGTGCGACTCCTGGGCACTCTCCTCTTGGAAGCGCAGATCCCTTTGGCAACCCTGATAAATACCTCAGTTTCCCGCCCGTCAAACAGAAAAGACAAATTGTACTACCCAGTCGTGTGCTTAGAACACCGTGAGATGTGTTCATGGACAGCAAATGATTCTGATGGCGCATGGGTTGTTTTCACTTCCAGCAGCTGCTAGCAGCAAGGGCTCCACCAGCATTTTTGTCCAGAGCAATTACTGATGTGCTTCCAGTGTCCCGGTGAAGCTGGACATCTCCCTGAGTTTTGCTGGGGCAGGCGCACTGAGGAAGGCTGGCCGGCCGCGGGCACGGAGGCCTCCCCTGACCTCTGCCCCTCTGTCCCTCTGCCCCCGCAGCTCCCCGCCGGCCCAGCAGCTCTCCTTCCTGCGCAGCGGCATCCTGAGCAGCCTCTACCTGCACGCCGGCGAGTGCCCGGTGCCCCTGCTCCGGTGGCTGTTCCAGGTGAGGACCACCGCCTGCCGCTAGGTGGCAGGAGCCTGCCGGCCCAACAGCCAGGGCAGGGCCTCCGGCCGGAGGGGTGGGGCGCTGCCCTCGTCTTGGCCTTGGGTGCTGCTGGGCTTGTCCCAGCTGGGGCTGGAGGAGGGAGGGAGGCTTGTGATCACAGGGTCCAGGAGGTGCAGGCACCGGCCAGTGATCTCACTCGGCTCCCCCGGAGCGTGTGCCTTGCAGGTGTTGTCGGTGCCACTGGAGGCCCTGTGTGTGATTCAGGCCTGGCCACCTGACAGGAGCTTGCACTGTGCCCAGCTACCAGTCACAGATTCTGACCCTCGTCCTATAAGCAGCAGGAGGGCAGCCCTGCAGTGCCCTTGCAGGTGTGACGGCCTTTGTGAATTTAGAGCTGGGGTGCTCAGGTGTTTCCTTGCATGGAGTGATAGGTCAGCTGGAAAAGCCTAGAAGAGCTGCTCTGTCTTCACCTTCCTTCCCTCCTGGTTGTAGCTGAACATTTTGCCTTGGGGGGATGTGCATTCTGCCCCAGGCACAGAGCCTTTGCCCCAGGACAGTGAGAAACCAGCAGGGAAAGCCCGGGAACCAGCTGCTGTGGTATGAATGCTGGGGCGGAGATGCGGCCTTGGCGCCCACCCAGGACCGTTCCTGCCTGGGGATGGGCAGGTCACAAGTTCCAGCTGGTCTCATTCCTGCCAGTTGGAGCCTGGACCCCAGCTGTAAATTAGAGCCACCGTGCGGGGTGGATTGTTCTCTGAGCTCCTTGGCCTCAGCAGACTGGCTGCCTTCCAGAAGGAGCCCTCCAGCCCTCTCTTCTTCCCTGGGGTCCTTCCTGTCGCCCCTCTCTGCCCCAGAGGAGAAAGGCACCCCCTTGCCCCTCCCCCAGGCCCAGCGGGGAAAGGCGAGTGGGTGTCACTGGGAACAGAGCGGCCCTTATTCTCTGTCCCCAGTCAGTGCAGCTTCTCCCTGCTCCTTTGCACAGCATATGACGGACACACAGTCGGGCATCAGAGGCACAAAGAGCCAGTATGAGATGTCGCCCACAGAGGGTCCTTGTGTGACCCTGACACGGCATGGAGAAGCGACTGAGCCCTGCCCTGTCTCTTCCCCCAGCTCTGTCACGTCAGCGGCGGGACTCTCGAGCAGAGGACCCATCCCTGCTCTGCCACTTACTACTGTGTGACCCTGGGGGGTTATTTAACGTCAGCTCTGTGCCTCAGCTGAGCTGGGGCCAACAGCCCACGTGAAGGTTGAATGAGGAAATCCTGTGACCTGCCTTGCCCTTCTGGTCCCCCAACAGCACTGCCCAGGGCCTGGACAGCATCTGGAAGGAATGATGTTTCGCACAGAGGTTCTGCTCCTCCATCTTCAGAAGGAGAAACAAAAGCCCCCCCCCACGTGCCCCCGCCCACCCCCAGCTGAAGTCAGATCAGTGACGGGTGCACTTAGCCTTGGGGGCCTTCTGGGTGAGACTCTGCGTCTGTGTCTCTGGAGAAGGAGCAGGGTGGCTGCAGGTTGCCAGGCCCAATGACCACGTGGCCACTCGTGGTCACACTGCAGACCTTTGCCGATGGGCTTAGGTGTCTCACTTCCGAGGTTTTGGCTTTCTTGTCGCTGGGAACTTACTTCCGTGTAGCAGCGGTAGCGTTCGTTCTTCCGCAGACATGGGCTGATGTTTGCTACATGCTAAGCTCTAGGGATAGAAGGACTTTGGAAGTGGTGTCCCAGGTGAATGCGCAGAACGTGGCCGTGGTGCTCGGCGTACTTCAGACCGCCAGTGTCGGTGAGGCCTCTGGTTCCAAGAGGCAAAATCCACGGGGGCTCCCTGAAGCTGCTGGGTGGATGCTTATGAAGGTCCAGGGGTGGCTCATGGATCCAAGGGCAGGAGTGCAGCCAGGGCTCAGGAACCAGGATGGAGAGGGGTCGGGATCTAGGATAGGCTGCCGCTCCTCCCTGTACCCTAGGCCCCGCGGTCAGGGAAACTCCCGGCAAGGAGAGGAGGGGTTAGGTGACCACCCCTAACCACCCCTGACCCGGCCCAGTCAAAGGCAGCTGGAGGAGCAGGGCCACGGGGCTGCAGGGGCCACGTGTGTACCTGGGGCTGGTTCTGAGAGCTGGGGGCTGGGGAGTTGGGCAGACCTCTCCGGCCGGGCTGGCTCGTTCCGCTGTTTCTCTGGAAGACCATCCTGAGTTCCCAGGGGCACTCCTGGTTCCTGCTGCCCGCCACCCTCCCTGCTCCCAGGCGCTTGGCGGGGGCGATAGACCGTGGGCCCCGGTGAGGAGGCGTCAGCCCGCCCTAGTGCTCACGAGTTAGGTCAGCTCGTCACCACAGCCCTAGTGTACACTCTGCAGGTGAGCCCTGCTGGGGAGGGTGGACAAAAGCAGGCACCTTACGCTGCCAACGAATTTATGTTCTTCTTGGAAAATGACCACGTGACAACGTGGAAGTTACAGAAGGAAGAGGGAGACAGAGTTCTGGCGTCTTAGGTCAGACTCCTGGGAGGCAGACCCTGAAGTTTTCCTGGGGAAACGCACCTGTTAGGGAGGGCGGGCAGCAGGGTGGGGCTGATGGAGAAGCTGAATAGCCACGCAAATGCAGGAGAGGCTATGGCCAGCCCTGGCAGCTCTGGAACTGGGGTCACCCTTCACAGTCGTCTCAGTGAGGCAAGGGGTCCAGGCCTTTGGACCCCAGCATTAGCCTGTGGTCAGACAAAGGCTACACTTGCAGAGGGGATGTGACCTTGGGTAAGGGACTCTCTCCCTCCAAGGTCAATGCCTACAGGAGGCTTCAGCTCAGGGCCCTCAGCCAGCAGCAGCACCCAGCCCATGAGTGGCCGTGCCCAGAGTACCCACCGCAGCGGGCTTTACTCAGCACCTTCAGGGGGTCGGTGTACTTTTGTGGCGTGGCCTCGCCAGCCTGTCCCCAGATTGTATGGTGCTGGGGGGGGATGCTGTCCCATTGCTCATCTCCATGTCACACCCTCTTCACATTCCAAATCCCCAGCTCTGACCACAGGCTCTAGGAGCACTCAAGGAAGTGAGTTTGGGGGGGGGTGCCCCGCCCTCCCTCCTCCCATCCGCCAGATTGCTTGTGGATCTGCACTCAGTACTGAGGACCTCCCCGAGCTGGTGGTCTCCTGTGCCTGTGAGTCAAGGCACTGAGCTGGAGATGAGGTGAGGGTCACGAAGAGGGACCAGCTTGTCCCTGTCTAGCAGACTGTAGTCAGAGGGGCACGGTGTGACCACAGGGTGTGAGGGGCAGAAGGACCAAGATTGCCACACAGGGCAGCAGACAGAGTAGGAGACTTTAAGTCACATGGACCAGGGATTGGGTCCTGGCTCTGTTCCTCACTTGCTGCGTACCCTGAGGGGAAGTTGCTTGACCTCCCTGAGCTTGGCTTCCTCATCTGCAATGATGCAGATACACCTCTGCTGGGAGGGGTAAATGGGGCTTATTTAACATGGAGTAATAAAGGTTTACTACTATCACTCCAGAGGAATGACCCAGCTAACTTGTTTTTTTCCTCCTCCCAGCTGCTGACATGGCCTCCAGAAACGTCTTCAGGAGCCTTTGGTCTCCTGTGGGGCCTCAGCGTGGACGGGCTCCTCCGTCAGTCCGGTCAGTACTCTGCGTGCAGGGTGGCAGCTTGCATGCTGCATGCCCAAGCTCGGGAGCCTACATGGCACCCAGTTGCTGGAGAGCTGCTGGTGGGGGCATCGCATCACGGGACATGGAGACATCAGGCCAGCTTCAGCTCTGGCTCCAGCATTAGCAAAAAGCTGAGCCATCAGGCTCCTTGGTATCTTATCTGGGCTGAGATTTATGTCACCGGGGCCAAGTCCAGGCTGACTTTACAGTCTTGGGATCCAAGAACAGTCTGGAAGGTGGATTCTCTGGATTTACGGGCACAGCTTGCTTCCAACTTCTTCCTGAGAGCCCCGTTTGCTTGGGAGGGTTCCAAGATCATCTGCATCAAATTGGGGAAGCTCTTTGGGTTGAAGTCACTGGGTGGGGGGTGGGGGGCTGAAGGTGTGTCCCCACCAGCAGCCCTCCTCGGCTCGTGGGCACCAGTGGAGCACCTAAGTGTGGTCTGCGCTGGAGTGAGAGCCTTGAGTCTGTACCTCGGTCCTGACATTTAAGGGGTACATTTGAGTCATTTTTATGGAATTTGTGGTGACCTTCCTAGGCTGTTATCATTTGGTGCCTGAACCTAGACACTTTGGCACCAAAAAATATCATGTAACCAGTTAAAAGCTGCTTACAGCAGAGGGATTCACAGGTGCTGGGACCCCCCCCCACTTGCCCACCAGCTGTAGTCTGCCCACCCTCCCACTAAAACACTGAAGCACATGCTCTGGAGGCCAAGGTTAGACCCACCATGCACCATTAACCACCCCTCAGCCCTGCACCCAGCCCTTTGAATTTCTGCTGTTGTGTCTGCCCTCCTTCAGGAGTTGGCTGAGCTGGAGGCCATCTGTCAAATCAGAGCATTCCAGGCTCCTGCTCGCCGGCCCCCCAAGCCTGAGACCCTGCTCTCCAAGGTCCTCTGAATAGCGCCAGTCTTGGCCTCCTCTCCCTTTACATAACCTCTGCCCCTGCAGCCTGGGCTGCCCTTTCGAGCCTCTGGGGTCGCCTCTGCGGTGTGCCTGCCCTTTTGGGGAACAGAGGCCTCCCTTGTCCCACTCTTCTCCTCCGTGCAGTGGTATGTGTCTCCCCCCGCAGAGGCAGTGGGGACCTCCTTCTCTTCTCTGCTTCTTGCCACATTGTCCCTGATTCGTTCTCCATCAGGAGGGGCCAGGAACCGGCTCCTGAGTTCCCAGTCAGCTCAGCTCTGACCGGCTCCCCCCACCCCAGAGTGTTTTTCCCGGCATCACAGGAGAGCCCAGCCTGGGCTTCTCTTTCCCTCCTGTTGGAACAGAGACTGGCCAACAGAACGTCATGCCCAAGGTCAGGATCTTGATGGATCTGGGGAAGGGCAAAGGCCTGGTTCACAAAGGAGCTGAAAGCAGGGATTCTTAACAGGCAGGTGCGTGTACCCCACGTTCACAGCAGCATTACTCACAATGGCCAGATGGCGGAAGTAACCCAAATCCCAAGTGTCCGATGATAGATAAGCAAAATGTGGTCTATACACGCAGTGGAAAATTATTCATCCTTAAACAGGAAGGAAATTTTGTCGTGTGCTACAACAGGGGTGAACCTTGAGGACATTACACTAAGTGAAAAGAGCCAGTCACAGGGGAACATGTACTGTAGGATTCCACTTACATAAAGTACCTAGAATAGTCAAATTCATAGAGACTGAAAGTGGAATGGTGGTTGCCAGGGACCAGGGGAAGGGAGAGTGGGAGGTTGGTGTTTAATGGGTACAGGGTTTCAGTTTGGGATGATGAAAAAATTTATGGAAATGGGCAGTAGTGACGGTTGCAGAACAATGTGAATGTACTTAACAGTACTGAACTATATACACTTAAAAATGGTCAAAATGGCAGGTTTTATGTTATGTGTTTTTTACGGTAATTTGAAAAGAAGAAAAGCCAAGTCCAGAACCAAGGAGAGAATCTACCAAAAACTGAAACTGAAAATCAACCGCCAGTTCAGGAAGCATTTGCACGGTTAAATTAGATGCAGGATTGATGCAAAAGGAAGTCATGCTTCTCAGATTTGTCAGCAACTTGAGGTGCTCTGTGTCCTTGTCTTCTGTGGGATCACTGCCCTCTGGGGCAGAGCTGCCTTCTCTCTCACTTGGATCTGTCTTTGGAATGTGAGTTTTCAAGTTCTCTGGCCTTTCTCTTTTGTAAAGTAGAGGAGATGTGTGTGTGTGTAAATTTCCACCCTTTGCTGGAATTTGTGGTGACCAGCGTTTCATCCCAGGCTGTCCTGGGAAAAGTCTTACACAGTCTCCTTCATCCCAGCACTCCGTGCGGGTCTCCGGCGGGGCCTGGGACCCAGGCTTCAGAGGTGACTATCATGGGTGTGCTCCAGGGGACAGGGGCTGAGGACTGAGAGCCCAGGGGTCACTGGAGGGTGGGAGTGAGGTGGAATTGTTGTCCTGGATTGAGAAGCGGCACATGTCACCTGTTAAAAGCTCCTTGATGAGCTTGGAGAGTGAGAGATTCTGGAACACTGGCATTCTTTACTGTGGGAAGCATTTATTCCCTTATTCAGCAAACGGACATTAAGTGCCCCCTAGGTAGCAGAGGGAGATACAGGGTGAAAAGTCGTGGTCCATGCCCTCAGAGGGCTGATAGTCAAGTGGGAGGGGATTAAATGTCCAGTTACGACAGGAGAAAGGAGGCATGGTCAGAACTGTGGGAGCTCCCAGGAGAGGGAAATTACTTCTAGCTAGATGGGGTTGGGGCAGGGGAGGCAGGAATCCGAAAGTGCTTTGTAGAAGAGGGAGTGGTTGATCCATCCACCTCTCGAAAGATGTGTAGGGCAGGGACTGCAAACTTAGTTGCCCATGGGGACCAAGTGAGACCAGTAACTAGAGAGCTTCTGCCCTGAGTAAAGAGCCTGGCAGGTTCCATGTTGCCAGATCTCTCCATTTTCAAGAGAAGCTCTGTCTTAGTTTAGGATGTACTTGGACTCTAAGTAACAAATACCCAAGTAAGAGCAGTTTATTATCTCATAGGATGAGAAATCCAGAGGCAAGTGGTTCCACAGTATGTTCAACAGATCTGCATTATCAGGGCTCTGACTTAGCTTCTGTGTCTCCCTTCTCACTACTTCCCCGCAGAGTTGCAAAGTGGCTGCCATAGCTCCAAGCATCATCATGTTCTCACAAGACAACAGTGTTCCAGGCAGAAAGGATAAGGGTAGAAGATAAGAGGTCAATGCTTCTTATACTTCTTTCTCTTTTTATCAGGACATTCTTTCCATTTCCAGACAGAACTAAATCATAGACTTTAGAGGACCTTTGCCATGTTTTCTCACTGTCTGGTGCCCTTTGAACACCACAGCTATGTCTGAGGAACTTGCAGCCTCGTGAATCCTACACCTCCAGGGTAGAACCAGGAGACTCACACTTTTTTTCCAGCCTCCTTTCAAATATTTGAATTTTTAGTTTTGGAATTTTCATTTAGTTCTTTATTGTTTTTTGTAGTTTCTGTTTCTCTATGGGGATTTCTTATTTGTTCATACAATATGAGCATATTTTCATTTACCACCTTGAGTACAGTTATAATAGCTGCTTTAAAATCCTTGTCTGTAATTCTAACATATGGAGCATCTAATTCATTATATGGAAAATTTAAGTATGAAAGTAAACATTTACTGAGTAAAGGAATCATACCAAATACTAGACCTTGTGAGTTGCAGGTCCCATTCTTCCAGCTCTCTTTAGGATATTTTCCAGAAATGCTCATATAGAAATGTCAGCTGATTGCAGCCTGGCTTCCCTACAACACTCACAGGGGCCGTGCAGGTGAGGTGTCTTGGAGCTTAATTAAGCATCATTAGCTTTAAGATCAATTGGTTTCTGACATGTGATAAAACTGTTTTCTGCTCTAAAAGCCAGAGCCTCTTTCTGTCACTGTGACTCAGAGCTCTGACTGCTTCCACAGCCACCCTAGTCCAGACCCCGCAGAGAGACATGGGTGACATGCTCCCTCCACTGGGTGGACCCACTTTCCCTGAGCAGACACCATAGCAAAACCAGGGCTCCCTTACTAGGGAAGAAGGGGAGCACGGCTTTTGGATGGGGAGCCAGCAGAATCTGTCGTAGCCAGAGTATGTACGTTTATGTGAAATCTCTTGGTAACTAATTCAGTTAAAAGATAAACCCCTCAAAACCCCCACTGTGAACCCGTCTACAAACTCTCTTCGACTGTAGCTCTGCTGGTTTGCAGCCCTGGACGTAGCCCTGGGTGTGGAGAGATATAGGGAAAGCCGGGAGCAGCAGGAACATAGACAGGGAGATGGGGAGAGTGGGGCAGAGCGGGAGGTAAGACTGGACGTTAGGGGCCAGATCTCGGAGAACAGTGGGGCCATTGCAGGCATAGTGAAGCTTTGTTAATATTTGCAAGACCAGGAAGAATTACTGTTGTTGTTATTTAGATATAACTCACATACCATATAATTCACTCTTATAAAGTGTGTGATTCAGTATAATGCAGAATTGTTCAACCATCACAACTATCTATTCCAGAACATTTTCATTGCCCCCAAAGGAACCTCATCCATCAGCACCACTTCCCACTACCCACTCCTCCCTGCCTGTGGCGACCCTTAAGCTACATTCTGTCTCAGTGGACTTGCTTATTCTGGACATTTCATGATTTCTAGATGATACGGTATGTGACCTTTTGTGTCTGCTTTTTACTTAGCAGAATGCTTTCAAGGTTCACGTATGTTGTCACCTATATTAGTAGTTCATTCCTTTTATGGCTGAGTAATACTCCATTGTATGGATATACCACATTTTATCCATTCATCAGTTGATGGACACGTCACTTGGATTGTTTCCACTTTTTTGGCTATTGTGAATAATGCTACTGTGAACACTTGCATACAAGTGTTTATGGGGACATACGTTTTTAGTTCTCTCAGCTATATGCTTAAGAGTAGAATTGCTGGGCCATATGGTGACTCTATGTTTAACTTCTTGAAGGACTGCC